TGGGGGGTGGGGTGGGGGGGGGTGGGAAGAGGATAAGCGAGAGGAGCTCCGATGGCTTCCCCCCCTCGAGTTCCTCGCCGGCCACAATGCCAAGCGGCGGCAGCGTTTCTTTAAGGAGCCCCTCCCAGGCTCCACTCCACTCACTCAGCGATTTTTTTTTTTTTTTTTTTTCCCTGCTCTCCCCTCCTCTGTCTGAGGCTCTGCTGCAGCCAGACGGCTCTGGAGAGGCGGGCGGGCGCGGGGCGGGGAGCGGGGGCCGCGCCGGCCGCCGCAGCGTCAGCGCCGCTCGCTCTGTCAGCCCCGCGCGCCGCGATTGGCCGGGGCGGCGCCGAGGGGCCGGCGCTGCCCCCCCCTCCCCGGCCCGGCCCGGCCCGGCCCGGCCCCGCTCTTTGTTGTCGGGCTGCCCAACAATGCCGGGCCCCCCGGCCCCGCCGGCCGCTGATCCCCCCTCCTCTCCGCCGCGCCTCCCCCCCACCCCCCCCACCGCCACCGCCACGAGCGCCCGCCGCCAGCCCCACCTGAGCGCTCGGCGGAGGGGGCTGCGCTTGGGGTGGGGTGGGGGGGAAGGGTGCCCCTTGTGCGCCTCCCGCCGGGCTCGGGAGGAGCAGCAGCAGCGCTACCGGCGGCACCGCAGGGCCCCCCCCCCGCGGCCGCGGCCCCGACCCCGCACCGGCAGCGCCGCCGCCGCCGCCCCTTCACCGGCCCCGCGGGCGGCGGCCGCGGGCGCGCGCGGAACCCCCCGCCGGCTCCCGCGCGGCCCCGCCCGGCGCGCGCCGCGCGCCTGCGCGCGCCCCTCCCTCCCTCCCTCTGCCCCCGCCCGCCCGCCCTCCCCCTGCGCGCGCGCGCACACTGCGCCCGCGCGGGGCCGCGCGCGAGCCGGGCCCGAGCAGACCCACATGGCCGGCCCGGCTCCTGCGGGCCCCGCGCTGCGGCTGCCCCGGCGCCTCCCGGCCCGCCCTGCGGGCGCTGCGGCCCCGGCGGGAGCGAGGGCAGAGCCGGCCGGAGCTGCGAACCCCCCCCGCCCGGCCCGGTCCGGCCGTGCCGCGGTGACCCGGCGGGTCGGGGACGGAGCGCGGTGGCACCGCGGGCACAGCGGGACCGGCGGCGCTGCGCCCCTGTGCTGTGGCGCTTCTCAACCGTGTGGTGGTTCCCGACACCCCCACGGCTGCCCCGGACCCGCAGCGTCCACGTTTCCGACCATAGAGAGCCCGCGGGGGAACAGCGCCTCTCGCACGGCCGCTCGAGCAGCGCAGTGTCACCAGCATCCCAGTTTTTTCGCTAAACCGCTAGAAAATAGATCTCCCCACCTCTTCCTTGTACCGCCAAAGCACTTTCTCTCATCTCTGCCCCCACAGGACCCTTCAACCAGTGAAAGGGTTTTTTTGCTCTCAAGTACCCTGTCCCAAAAAACCTTGCCTCAGTCTGGTGACTAGACATGAAGTGTCCTCACCTTTGTCATAAAAACGCCCACCATCACATTTTATTTCTCCAGATCTTCTCCCTGTATGTAAGCACCCATACTCAGTCCTTGGCAGCTGTCAGGTTCAAAACACTGACATTTTCGTACTTCAGGAAAATCAAATAATAAGCAATTGTTAGCCAGTATCAGGTATGACAGGGGACAGACGTTTACAAGTGCACCCGGATCTGTTTAGCCAGCTGCCTGTACAAACAAGTGTAACAAGTCACAGGTAATTGTTTACACACAGTGTTTATTGCAAATTACTGTCACTTCCTCAGGATGTTTGCATGTTGTATAACAAAGCTCCAGTGGATTGTTTTCTAGCAAGGGTATACACTGGTGATGTGCTTTCCTAAGTGCTGAGCTTGTCCCATCAACTAAGGAAACTCTGAAGTTTTATACTTAAAAGATTACTTATTTTACAAATTAACTTCCATAGGCAGCAGCAGTCATTTCCAGGGGGTAAACGAGAGATTACTTATAAGTCTCAAGGACCCATAAGACTTATAACAACAAAATAATGCTCTTTATTATTAAATAAAATAAAAATTAAAAGTCTGCTTCTTTGCAGCCTTTTTTAACTCAAGGACTCTAAAACCTATGAGACAGAACTTAACTGTACCCATTTACCAGACAGGGGCAGGACAGGACAGAGGTGAGGGAAAGACACATCAGTGTAGAGAACTAGTGTTGTTGAAGTCCAGCAGTGAGAGGCATAAATGTTGGAAGTGCAAAGATATGAGGAAAGTGCTTGGGTTGTGCTTGGATTTTACCTGTTCTTTGTTTTGTTTCTTCACCTGATTCATACCTTTTTCTCTCCCTCCCCCTTCCCTCCCCGTCTGCTTAAATTCTGATTGTGTTTCTGCCCAAGATCACTGTACTGGACTGAACATCCATGTACTGACTAAGGAGAAAAAGGAAAACAAGTTATCTTCAGGTTTATGTTCCTCTATAGGAAAAAATTTCCCAAAGCAAGAGCCCAGGCAGATCTAGCTTTATTTTATAATGTCAAGCTAGAAGCTCTAATTACAAATGTTTAAAATGCATTTCAGAATAAGCACGATCCTTTCAGGGGACAGGGGGAGAAGAAGATGCATTTCTGGGAGACTAAGTGTGCACTGGTGTTCCAAGAGCCCCATGAATCCCGTGGAATGCTCCCACATCTTGAGGACTATTACTTTTTTAGTGTTTTAGAAAACATTTAAGAGCAAACTACAGGGAATAATAACAATTAAAAAGTTATACTGATGTACCTTAAAACCCGCATACACCAGCAGCGCAGCCCCCGGGGAGCACAGCATCTATGCAATGGTGTGCTCATATGGCAACAAGAAACACACACCAGATTCATATGAATCTACTCCCTCCACGGAAATGTTTCCTCAGAATAACTTAATCAAGTCTAAATTAAAGTGTTACCTATCGACATAACGCCTTTCATTCCATAAAACCTTGAAACATGCACAGAATTAAACTCCATCTCTGGGGGAGAGACCAACCATCTACCTACCAATTTACAGCAATTTAACAAAAGCAGGAAGGGAGGATATATTACAGGCAAATACAGGACTCATTGCAGGAGGAGTGTAATTCTCAGCCCTTTTAGTTTCTCTCTGTTATCATTTCCCATTTATGACAGAGGTAATAAAACTTCCTTCCTCCAACCTTTATTTAATTAAAGTGTAAGGTCTTTAGGGCAGCAAGCTTACTGTGTGTATATATACAGCACCTAGCATGAAGAGGTCATGAATTAATCTCAGGCCTTTCAATACTACTGCAAATACAAAGCATTAGCAATAATAAGAATAGAACATAATTTTCATTTAGAAATAGATGAGACCTCTGTTTTCAATGTGTTATCACAAAGAATAAATGGCAGGCATCCCAGGGAATAATTAAATTAGGGGTCAAGGAAAAGTATTTCATACCAGAGACTTGCACCTCCACTCAATCCTAGTTGTTTACACCCAAGGACACTGCTGCCCACTGTAACAGCATTTACTCAAAATTCTTGTTTTCCATAATCTTACAAATTAATGTCCCAAATCCCATAGGTCAGATAATCAGTAAGAGTAGGAGTATAGTTTATTCTGAGACAGTTCATGTGATTACTGTGATAACATACCCAAATTAACCTTTTGCATGTGCAATAAACTGCAATTAGCAATCTGCAGACAAATGACAAGTTCCTTCGTTTCCTGTAATATGCAGCAATACACAAGCCAGATTTCCTATTGAATCCCATATTAACCTACATTCGGTGGCAGCGAAATCTCAGAGCACTGTGTCAGAATTTATCATCTTTCAATGATGTTAGCTCCACCTCTTGACAGTTCTAGACAGGATGTTTATAAACAACTCATCCAGAATCTGAACAACTGCAGCTGAAAATGTTTTTATTATTTTTTCACCAGTTGTTCCAGCCACTTTAGATGCTTTTACTGAGGAATGGGCAGAGCTCTCAAAACAGTATGGCTGAGTTAAATAAATGACAAGAAATAAAATGGAGATGGAGTAGTGAGTGGCTTCATGATGCCTCTCTGAGCTGCTAGGAGGCTCAGGGGTAGGGAAGCTGCAGAAGTGCCTCCTTCCCTTGTGATAAGAAACATCACATCAAAAAATACAAACAGGGAGATGATGTTGATGATTTTCCCCAAATGTGCTTTCATCCCCATAATTCTACACCTCTCCCTGTTACAGAATTCATTTGCAAAATATTTTTTTAAAAACAAAGATCTTCTGGGACAACTTGTGAAAAGCAATTCTGCTGCAAACCAGAAAAAGTCTCACATCTTTAACAGTCACCATGTCTCTGAAAATCTTGATACAGTGCTGTAAACCTAAACCAGTTGCTAATGGCTTTATTAAAGTGCTTGTTTTCAGCATGATAAACAAAAAAATATTTTTGAAAGAAGCATCACTTACTGCACTTCCTTCATGTGCCTGTGCTGTTAGTGTGACATGAGCAATTAGTGTGTGCACGCGTGTAGGGGATGAACTGCCTTACAATAATGCAGTTGTTTAACATGAGTGATGGAAAGCAAATCAAAAATCATGAAGATGCCTTTGTAATAAGACAGAACTAACCAGCCAGATCACCTGCCCACTTTAAAACTCTCCACCTGGATTGCTGTTCCATTCCACCTCTCTTGCTCCTGAACCAGGGTTATCTCACAGTGTATCTGAATTAAGTGGTGCTTAACAACCCTGCCAACCAGAGTTCGAAATGCAAATCCCTTCTGCCTCTCCTCTGCTCTCACACTCCGTGTTTGGAGTCCAGCCTTCCCTGCTGCTCCCGCGAGCAGCTCCTCTCCGCGCGGCTGCGGGATTGGAGCTCTTTGTTACCATGGCCCGTGGGCCAGCACTGCGTCTGCGATGCAGCACTGGCGTCTCCAGTCTGTAAGGCACCCACCACATTT